ATCTGGTGAAAATTTCATGTCATTAGCACCTCTAGTAATATATTTACTGAGAAAAATGGTGACGTGTTCAATATTTATTTTACCCGCTGTATACACAATATTAAAAGGGACAAAAAATGTTCTGAATGAAAAGCCGAGTGAATAAAAAATCTTCTCACCCTTATTTAAAAAAATTAACTTGAACAAGCTTCACATTTAAAAAACTACAAAGAGATGCAGCTGCTTGTTGTAAAACTGCTCAGATCAGGAAAGTTTGTGTTAGAGTTGAGCAGAAAAATAATACGTTTGATTATTTTGTTTAAATCCTGACTCAACAACCTGAGCCACAGTCACTGGCTGAGAAAATAAAATCCTTTAAACTTGAGCTGCACGATATTGTTTGAGCATCCCCATCATAGTGTACTTAGTCAAACTGCAGGTCCTGTGATGTAAGCAGGATTCCCACACCTGGGTCAACATCAAATTCAAGGACTTTCCAGTACCAATATCCTCAAATTAAAGAACCACGCGCAACGGCAATTACCTACTGCTACCGCAGAAAGTTACCAATAAACAGGTTTAATATGTAAATTCAATGAAAAACTGAACATAGAAGTTGTTGAGTGAGAAACAATGAAGTCAGTTTACTGTTATCCTGAGTTATCCACCGGAACAAATGTATTTTTTAAATTTAATTTTATAATTCATTATTTTAAAAGATGATGAAAATCAGTCGTGTGAACAGAGAACTTCAATCCCCAAAAAACATTCAAGAACTTTCAAGGACAAGTGTAATTTTTGGCTGTTTTCACAAACTTTCCAGGACCTTGAAATAATTTTTTTTAAATTCACAAACTGTCAAGGACTTCAAGGACCCGTGGGAACCCTGTGTAAGAGGCTAATTAAATTAAACAATCATGTGTTACAGGTTTTATTTTGACGGGTTGCTTCTGCTGGCAGAAGCAGCTGTGACTGTGTGATTAAAAAATAAAAAAATCTTTCATTTTGTTGTGAAACTTCTGGGAAAATAATGGCAACAATTTTCAGAGAACTGAATCCTCGAGCTGCGGAGGAAGACGAGGGTCTTGACTCAAAACAAGCAGGAGAAACGCTTTAATATTAGCACAGTGTTTGTAATTTAGTTTTTTATGGACCTAAATATGGAGTTGTTACAGTGAGTGAGATCAGTGAGTCACCAAAATAAAAAAAACACATCAAGGGATTTATCACAAAGATGTGCACGAGTGAGAAAAGGTTCAAAAATGTAGAAAAAAATATAAAATAAAACCTAAATCATCTACAAGGACTGAAGGTTTTACCTGATCAGGAAACTTGCGAATGCTCTCCACTAAATACTGATACGACTTCCAGTCTCCTGCGATCACCTCTCCTAGAACTGGGATGACCTGGAAGCTGTAGGCGTCATACAGGCTGAAAAATGAAGAAAAAAAGTTTTAATTTGAGGTAAAATGTGTTTTCTTTGACAGTTTTTACACTAAAAGTTAAAAACTGAAGTGAGTGATTATTTTCAGATGGGTCATATAGAACGGAGACGTCAAACTGAAACCCAGGAGATGTATTTTTACCTATTGGGTGGTCTTTCTCTGCATTAAACCTGACTGACCATAACAGCAACAAGCCAAGAGGGGGCGCTGTTTCTCCAAACCACCATAGACTTAAATATAAAGATCACTAGACTGAGCCCAGCCCATCCCGTACACAGGTAGTGTCTGTGACAACATGGAGGAGCAGAAACAGGACAACAGCTCACAGCCTCCATAGAAACTAATAGATAAACAGCAGCTGAACTGGATCTGTTTCACAGATTATCTGTCATGTTTTTACTATAAATTAATAATTATGTTAATTTAATTCAACAAGCATGTAAAACAGCAGATTTATACCAAAAAAATATATAATATGTCAATGTCAATTTATCTATACAGCACATAGAAAACAACAAAAGTTGACCAAAGTGCTTCACAATTCAGCCAAATGAATAAAACAACAGAGCAACACATTAATGTACACAATAAAATATAATTTATACGTAACAATGATTTAACCCAGACCTGAAGTCAGCCTGTAACTTAGACTTTAGCTAGTTGAAAAATGATGACTTCAGCTAGTAATAAAGTATATTTATTATTTCTTCTTACTGTCATAAAAATGACAGTATTTATATTTACCAGTCAACAGTTAGAAAATGTTCTCTGGTTATAGG